TTTGTGATGATGTGTGGTACTATGTCGCGATAAGCCTTCGCGGTCTCCTTAATTAAAGCCTTAATTTAAATTGAATGATAATCCGTCGTTCTTTGGTCCGCATGTGCTACAGTTGAACACGAATTTCCGGTGATCCGCCGAAAACAGCTTCTGCTGGAACAACTGCATTTTGCACTACTGCACTACTTTGCACTTACTCCGTTGACTGCGCCAGTTATGGTCGAGGTGGCATTGGGATTGTTTTTAAAAAAGAACAACTTCTTCTGCTGCCTGTGTATGATTTTCCCTCTTCTGTTCTGGAAGTTCCTTAAACATACAATGAATGCGTCGGTGTCAAGTTTTTCTGCTAATTCAATATGTGAAGCACGTGTGGTTAGGCAGGTGAATATTACCCTCCATCGGTTTTCAACAGATTTCTTTACTGCAACTTCGAACGGACCGAAGTAGTCAACTTCAGTATGCGTAAATGGATGAGCATACATATCCAAACGACTTTCTGCAAGCATGGCCATCTGAGGAGGTGTTGGTCGCGCCCTCATTATTTTACATTTTTGGCAGTTGCTTTTAACATTTTTTAGTACTGTCCTCGCCTTTATAATCGAAATTTTTTGGTGTATTGCCCCTAATATCACATTATCTCCTTGGTGTAGACATTTCTCGTGATATTCTTTAACTATCAATCTTGTGATATGATGTTTGTATGGCAATATAATTGGCTGCCGTGTTGATTGTGAAAACATTTTAGTGTCTTTTATCTGACTTTGTGACACGATGACTCCATATTCATTAAGCATCGGTGTTAAGCTTATCAACGGACTGGGTGAAGCCTTGTTTATTTTTGATCCAATCGGAGAATTTTTTGATAACACATATATGTTTAACAAGCTTATTCCAATAAGAATAGCGTTGTTCTTTTATGAATTCCAACTCGGGATCATCCGAGGTATGGATCATTATTGTTCCTTTCAATTCTGCGTTGGTATCTTTTGCGAACCTTGGTTTTGGCCATATATTTTCCGGGTCATACAAGAATTTTGGTCCGGATTGCCAAGAAGATACACCTTTTGCCTCCTTGGTGCCTTCATCTGCTGGATTCTTTTCTGATGGCACGTAACGCCATTGATCCATCTTAGTAAACTCAAGAATTTCTCCTACTCTATGATAAGTATAACACAGTTTGTGAGTCAGACCATAAAATGCTTTTTGTTGGTTTTATGCGCAGCTCGTGTTCGACAGTTTTCGTTAATCTTGTGCCTAAAACTGCTGATTGTGCTACTGTGCCGAATAGGTGCTACTCTTGCCTTCCCCGCTACCATCCTTACACTGACGGTAGATCCAATACTATCCAATCCACGTATGTACGTGACAGCAGCAAATGCGTAATCCGACGCATCTACGAATGTGTGTACTTCCGATGTCTTTGCTTTGGTATGAAGAATCCATCTTGATATTTTTATTGATGCAGCTGATTGTATCATTTCAATCCAATACTTCCATTGTTGATATAAACAGTCGGAAATGTCTACATCCCAGTCAGAACTTTCTTTTTGTAGTTCCTGCATTAAAATCCTGCCATGGATTGTCAAGTTTGATATCAAACTTATGGGGTCATAGATGCTCATTACGCATTGTTCTTTTTGATTCTCGAATCTCTTTGTCTAATCGTTCCATTTTGAGATTGTAACTTAAGCAATCGAGGGCAGTATTCCAATAAACGCCTTAAAGATTTTTCATTATGCGTATCCTTATCTTCAAATAGCCGCACATTACCTTGTTGTAGTCTTTCTTTAGGTAATGCTGCTAATACTGGTTTGCTGTTGGACACGAAGTTTCTTATGAAGAATCCCGCATTATTGTGGATTTCGATGACGTCTTTTATTGTTGCAATAGCATCTTCTTTTGAATTAAGCTTTCAATGTAATCATCCACATAGATAGTTGACTGATGCAAATTTTGACTTTTTCGCTCCACAGTGCTTAAATGGTTTCAAATCGGGTCCTGATTAGCCTCCCAAAGTTTCAACTCATTTGGTTAGAAACAGACTTCGCACAATCCATTTGAAGTTTACATGTAAATTACTATGGGAAATCTCAACTTTTTGTTCATTGCCTTCTAGTCTTTTTCCATATTGAGCTGCGAAACAGTTTGATAGCCATTCTTATAGAAATTTTTTTCAGCTACAACTTTGCAGAAGATCGTTTCTACGTAAAACGAGACAGAAAAAAGTTATTAATTATTTAAGAGATTGGTAAACTTATGACATGATCAAGCAGCTGGTCTGTAGGCAACACTGTATTTTGCAGTGTGACATAGTAGCCATGATTTTTGTGTCCTATTCAACGCCCCAGAAACACCAATGTTGCCTATTGAGCAGTTGATTGAGCATGATCATAAGACCTCAGCGCATTGAACCATTGATAACTTTCGATCCTTGCATTTAATCAAAATGTGGTCTTGAGCAAAGTTGTAGCTGGGAGAATTTCCTACAAGCACAATTGAAAGTTTTTGAAGCAGACCGATATGGTGAATTATTAGATAGACATGAACAAAAATCTTGGTTTCACCATAGTAATTCCCATACAAACTTCAAATGGTTTGTGCCATCTCAGTTTCTCACCAAATGGGTTCAAATTTTGAGAGGTTAGTCAAGATCCGATTTGGAATCGTTTAAGTATTGTGGAGCGAAAATTTCAAATTTTGCATCACTCTAATAGATAGTGTTGCTTTACAATAGCTTTCGCTGCCTTTGGTTTTGTTTCTTCGTAAAGAGCAGCGTTGTAGCTCTTGACGATTTGAGCGCAAGCAGGTGAACATGTTGATCCGAACATCATTACCTGCATAACGTAGATGTTTGGGTTTCGATCTTCATTACAATCCCGGAATAAGAAGCATTGTTTTCTTTGATCTTTTTCGTTTATTCCAACCTGACTGAACATTTCCTTAATATCGCCAGCCGTAGCAATTGATCCTTCTCTAAATCTTATTGATACACCAAGTGACGATGTTGTGGCATCTGGACCGGATAACAATGCTGAATTAAAAGAAATTCCTTGGACCTTTTTGCTGCCGCGTCGAAAACCATTCTTGGTTTTGGCGGCTGTTTATTTTTGTTGATTTCTTCTGACCACTCTTTTACTTCTTGAGCAGTTAGTTTTCGAGCATAACCTTTGTTGACATAATCCTTGACGGTGTCAATTGCCCAATCCTTTAATTTATCATCTTTTTTTAATTTATTTTCCAAGGTTTGAAGGCATTGTTGTAACTCTCAGGAAATTTAAATCCATCTTCCTTCCATAGGAGTCCAATTTCATATTTGTTATCCTTAAACTTCAATGTTTTATCGATTATCTCTTGAGCTCTAATAGCATCTTTTGATTGCGGTAAATTCTGAGGAACTTTTACTCCAAAATCTTCTATTGAGAAGTATTTTTTCATTGCATCAAACATCTCCTTTTGTTGTTGTATTACACATACATGTTCGGGTTGCACCGATTCAGCAACTGACTGATTCCCAAATATTAGCCATCCCAATTTAGTTCTAATGGCCATTGGTTTATGTTCACCTCCACTCCTACGTTTGAACGGAACTAAAAGGTGACTGTGATTCAATCCAATTAAAATGTGTGGTTGAATTTTGCCATAATTTTTTTATTGGCAGCCCTCGTAGATGCATAAAAGCATCAGCTAATTCATTGACTTCTTGAATCGTTAGATGTAGATTTGTAACTGATTTTGAGTTGTACTCGTTTACTTCCTTTCTCTTCCCTGGAGAAGTTTTGGGTCCACTTTAAAATGATCCGCAACATGTTCGTCCAGCAAGGTTAAAGATGATCCTGGATCCAAAAACGCATATGTATTAACTTTTCATTGCCCATTCCATAGTGATACCGGCAATATTTGGTAAAAGATGTTGGTTCTTGAATCCTGATGAACATTTGAAGTATTTTCTTCATTGCTACTTCGTGAGTCCTCTCGTGCTGTTTCGTTCTGCTTATTCTTGTGAAGTTGCGGTTCATCATTTTTATTTTGCTCCTTGCTATAATATCGCGAGTTGTCGATTTTGTTCTGCTCATTATAATATCGCGACTTATTATTGCTGTAGTCTGGTCAGATTCTCTATATTTGCGAACCTTCCTTTCTTTGTGGTTTCATCAAATATTTTACTGAACATTGGCCATTTTCTGGCAGACCCGTTGCTTTAAGTATATCGTCCAATCTTCCTGCTTTACTTGTGATGGTCCAGCATCTCTCTGGTCATTCTTAAATGATTCCAGTTTTAATTTTATTTGCTCCAAGTCCTTGAATCTGGCTGCTATGCATTTGCCTTTCTTGCAGCTCCACTTTTCTTATTTGGATGGTATGCCTTCTAGCTCAGCACATCCATAGTGAAACTAGCGGTCGCATTCATCGCATGCGACCATATCCTGTTTAGAGTCAGGATCTGTACATAAACGGCAATGACCGTTCTTGTTCACTACAAACTTGAATGACATTTTGCTGGTCTTCAAGACTTCTTCTGTGATCTTTATTTATAAGATTTTCAGCTCACTCACATCACAGCTCGCTCTTTGCGGCGTCGAGCACACCTTCGTGATGTTTGGGACTTTTTACTCCTCTCTGGAGCCAACAATGTTAGCGACGCGATCGATTATACGCTATCGCTGCTAACATTTTTTTTTATTTGTCGGGTGATACATGCATTGCGATCGTCGATGCACTATCTAAGAAGGTCGATGAACTTTATCAAGGAGTAATGACCTTATCGATACTCACAGACACAAATCACTTGCTACCAATGCCTGCTTTCTGGATGAAATAGGTACAAAGCACTAAAATTTGCGCTGCTTGTTTTCTTGCTTTTTCCGATGACAATATCGTAACTGAGTTTAACTGTCAACTCTCTCCAAAGGCAAAACGGTAACTTTGGTTTTACCGCCTTTTACCCCACGCAAGTAGGGTTGCCACTACAGATACTTCTTCTATGTTGTTGAGTTCCTTACATAGCGTTCTTAAATACACCAGATTGGTTTTGTTTTTGAACTTCAAACGCTACAAAATGCAGTAATCTAGTTTCTCCCATACCGGGGTCTGCTGCAAGTAAAATATGTTGCTGGTTTTTGAATGTTCCTCGAAGCTCTTCAACAAATTTTGTATCACTAATCTGTCGAACTATTTTGCTAGTCTTATCCTTATCTGTTACCTTGCCGTTGCCTGGCAGTTTCTGAACAATGTTTAACAATTTACCCACTGATTGTCTTACGATGTCCTTCTTTGTTCTGCCTCTGGCATTACGCGAGTTAAGTCTATACGGATGTGATTAACTTTTTAAAGAATAACTTCTTAACTACTCGCTAGCTAAAACCGAACTGGACTTTATTTTTCAATAAAACCTAACTACAGTCCATATTGCCTACTCTGCATTTCCTCCGCTGGTGCCATCGTCCAAATTCCGTCCGTTGCCATCGTCGATCAATTTGCCTTGTCTTGCATGTTCGTAGCTGCCCATCCGGTGTGCCGTCGTTGCCAAGTTCCAAAGTGCATGTTCAGCATCAGCATTCCAGCCGGGAGGCTTCGGTGCTAACTCGCGGTTCTGTAGTTGTAGCCATCGCCATTCTTATTGGTCAATTGTGTAGGGAAACAAAACACAACAATGAAAAAAAAATTAAAATACATCCCAAAAACAATGTTTCTCTCAACTATAAAAAGAGGGGAAAAAAATCAAGTACCTGTCTAATCGCTGCGACGGAACAAAGTTCGTATTCAATTTGAGCAGCAGTCCAAAAGCCCAAAACACGGTCAATCCTGGTCAATCAGCACTTAATTCTTAATAATGATGGGATTCAGCAGCAACAGCACTCCAGCACAACGGAACCGGCAACAAAACGCACTTCAAATTCATCTTCTTCTTCACTACCCAGGTCCATGAACTGTTCCGAAAGGTCAGCGAACTGTAGCCGATCGTCGATGCACTATCTTAGAAGGTCGATGAACTTTATCAAGGAGTAATGACCTTATCGATACTCGCAGACATAAATCACTTGCTACCAATGCCTGCTTTCTGGATGAAATTCAAAGCACTAAAATTTGCGCTGTTTGTTTTTTTGCTTTTTCCGATGACAATATCGTAGTAACTGAGTTTAACTGTCAACTCTCTCCAAAGCCAAAACGGTAACTTTGGTTTTACCGCCTTTTACCCCACGCAAGTAGGGTTGCCACTACAGATACTTCTTCTATGTTGTTTAGTTCATTACATAGCGTTCTTAAATACACCAGATTGGTTTTGTTTTTGAACTTCAAACGCTACAAAATGCAGTAATCTAGTTTCTCCAATACCGGGGTCTGCAACAAGTAAAATATGTTGCTGGTTTTTTTAATTTTCCTCGAAGCTCTTCAACAAATTTTGTATCACTAATCTGTCTAACTATTGTGCTAGTCTTATCCGTATCTGTTACCTTGCCGTTGCCTGGCAGTTTCTGAACAATGTTTAACAATTTACCCACTGATTGTCTTACGATGTCCTTCTTTGTTCTGCCTCTGGCATTACGCGCTTTATCACACCCGTCTGCGTTTCACGCTTTATTCGTCCAAAGCATTGTTCTAAATCTTGTTTGGTCAAAAAGTGCTTCCTATTTTTGTTATCAGGTTTGTTACATTCGACAAAATAAGCTTTCAGATCGATATACACTTATGTACTGATTGTCATTAGGGAATTTTCAAAAAACGTTTTGTTCACTTGAACACTTGTATTCAAATTAGAACTACAGATCAAACTAGAACTACCAACCGATCACTTTTAGAGTCAACAAAGAACTGACTGCCTGTTCTACTTACGACCATCTAACAACCTAACTATTCTGTTAAACTGCTGAGGTCAGCTGGGAACAGTCTACGTCGCCACGATGTCCTCCATCGAATCGTCACGTACCGGAATTCAGGTTGCACTCGATGAGGTTAGTCGGAACTGAATTTGATCTATTCCAGACGCTATGTGGGAACGACGATGTTGTTTCTGGGAATGATGAATTGGCTGGTTGCTTGGCTTGCCTGCCGTGGAAACTACAATGTAAGGTGGATGGGCATCTTCGCTATGGAGCCGAATCTAACTTGTGATATACAAAAGAGACCCGACTCGTTTGGAAGTTAGACTAAGAATGATTTTATTTCCTTTTTTAGTACATTGGATTGTATTTACTTGATGGGTGTTGTTGGACGCAGCGTCATATTTCGCTGCATCGTCGCCTGGGTTCGAATTTCCTCCGCATCCGGTCATGTTGAGCTGACTCCGTCCAGCTCGTGTCGTTTATCGCTGCGTTCTAGCTGACGCAAGCGGTTTGAGTTTACCCGCCATCGGTAAACCAGGATCGCTACCAGTGCAGCGATGGTGAATGCTCCGTCTAAGGAGTACGATATTACGTCGTGGGATGAAAGATCATTCTTTATGACTTCACCACTTTCTTCTCTGTTTCCAAAAGGCCACATTTTAGTTGGATTATTACTTTGTTGCTGGCTTCAGTTTGTCGTGTCGAGTGTTTATGTGATTCGTGGTGCAGGTTTTGATATCGGACCACCAGCCTGTTGCAATACTGCTGGTGGCATATTTTCTGCTGATGATGTATGTCTAGCAACTTTGGTCGTTGCCAGACGTTTCTTGCTGACGCTTTGATTTACAATTCATAGGGTTGTCACCCATTCTGAATTTGAGTGCTTCCAGCATACTTTCTGGATGAAATTCAAAGCACTAAAATTTGCGCTGCTTGTTTTCTTGGTTTTTTCCGATAACAATATCGTAACTGAGTTTAACTGTCAACTGTCTCCAACTACTAACACCACCATAAAAAAGCCAAAACGGTAACTTTGGTTTTACCGCCTTTTACCCCACGCAAGTAGGGTTGCCACTACAGATACTTCTTCTATGTTGTTTAGTTCATTACATAGCGTTCTTAAATACATCAGATTGGTTTTGTTTTTGAACTTCAAACGCTACAAAATGCAGTAATCTAGTTTCTCCCATACCGGGGTCTGCTACAAGTAAAATATGTTGCTGGTTTTTGAATGTTCCTCGAAGCTCTTCAACAAATTTTGTATCACTAATCTGTCGAACTATTGTGCTAGTCTTATCCTTGCTGTTGTAGTTCTTTCCACGTATGGCTTTCGGACGACGAACTTCACGCTTAGTAGGTTGATTAACGAATGTGTTTTTATTGACTTCTACTGACTTATTCTAACTTCCATTTACCTGAGATACTTGAAGCCATTATTTACTTAATTAACCAATCACCGATTATTACCTGATAGAGAGGTCCAAATTAATTGAGAGAAAGAGTTATGGTGAGAGAGCACTTAGTCAGCATTGTGACACTCCGTGCTAGTTGGAAACAGCCTACGAGTATTGACACTGTAAGTTGATACATTTGTTTTCGCGCCGATGTAATTGTTCGTTGAACCTTTGGATATTGAATTTAATTTTGAAGAACGAGAACATGCATGATTTGGTGACATGTGAAAATCACATGCTACACCACTACAGATACTACGTCTATGTTGTTGAGTTCATTACATAGCGTTCTTAAATACACCAAGAATACAGCAGATTGGTTTTGTTTTTGAACTTCAAACGCTACAAAATGCAGTAATCTAGTTTCTCCCATACCGGGGTCTGCAACAAGTAAAATATGTTGCTGGTTTTTGAATGTTACTCGAAGCTCTTCAACAAATTTTGTATCACTAATCTGTCGAACTATTGTGCTAGTCTTATCCTTATCTGTAACCTTGCCGTTGCCTGGCAGTTTCTGAACAATGTTTAACAATTTACCCACTGATTGTCTTACGATGTCCTTCCTTGCATTAGTAGCATGCATTCCTTCCTATTTTCGTTATCAGGTTTGTTACATTTGACAAAATCAGCTTCCAGATCGATGTACGCTTATGTATGATTTGTCATCAAAATCTTTTTAAAAAAGGTTTCACTATGTCCTTAAGGACAGATTTATTCACTTTTTCTGTACATCAAATGTTTCACCACTTTTTCAATCTAACAAAAGATTTCATCACTTTTTCATTCTAGTGTGGCAGTCTTGCTTAGAATATATCGGAGAAAGTCTTTCTTTGCAATGGTATCCAAACTATGGTGAGCTCGAGAGCTATCACCAGTAAGGACCAGAGTAAAAGTCTAGACTGCTTGATCAGATTATTCTAATTGCTTTATTTCGGTGGTGATCGGTTTATATATGATTCTCAGTTCAGTTACAATTTTGACTTAACCTACGTTACTATTAGTGAGAGTGAGACAACTGGAGTCCGTAGCCGAAAATGTGCATCTTGCTTAGTTTGGCAATTTGTGTGCCTCGGTGGTCCTACCCAGGCCAGTGACAAGGCCCATACCAACAGCAGCGTTTGACAGTAGACAGCATGTCCCGGGCTCAAATCGTTTATTTTGCTGTGCTGGACCCGCTGTCACGATATAACATGTTGCCTACGCGCCTGCCACTGGGCTGGTCCTACCCGATTGTGCAATTTGAAACCTTTCGATTTCGTTCGTCCATTAGCGTAGGACGCACGCGAAGGGAGGAAAGAGGAATGGGAATATTTCTAGCACTTCGGCTCGGTTACCGCATATGGAAGTAATTGCATTTGCATTCTATGTAACTTGAGTTTCTGGACTTTGTTCCGTTTGAAGTTAATGACTTGTTTTATTTATGGTTCGGTTATTGTCATAAGTATTTTAGGGATGCACATCATAAAATGTTGCTAACCCGTCTGGTAGGCCTAGTCTGGCTTTACCAGTAAGTCGTGTTTTCAAAAACCTAACTGCAGTTCATTGCAGAGGTCCTACGGTCATGTCTTTCAACAAGATTGCAGAATCCAAAAATGCATCCAAACCGTCAGCATTTCCATCATACTGATGTACAATTGCAGGTTTTAAAGTCATTTGCCATTGCTAGCGGTGGTGTCTGATCAATTTTTAATTTAAGTATGTTTCGAATGCCAGTTATTGCATTTCTGGCTGCTTTAGCTAGAAATGTTAGTTCCGAACTTGATAGAGAGTCTTCCTCTTCTATCAGTGTAGAGTCGATTTTATTATATAACGCATTTGCGTAGTTTAATTTAGCTTGGAGTGTTTCAAGTTTGAATCTTTGGTTTTATAGATTTTTTTAAATTCTTTTGTACCGTTATAAGTATTCCAACCTCTTCCTGTAAGTTAGACATTGGTTTACTTAATTAATATTATAAAAAAATATACTTCTGCAATTTTAGCTGACGACATTGCACGTCCTTTTTCAAATCCTTGTCGCTTCCACTTTTTCTTAAGTGTTTTATTAAGGATCAACATTAATTGTAGGATAACAATAGCTAATATTAGCCAAAGTTTAATTTCATGATTATCATGGCGATTGTCATGCTGTTCTAAATGTTCCATGATATTTATATTAGTGTCACCTGCTTGGTGAGCACTTTTTGAATTTGATTTCCCCATTTTCACGTAGTTTTCACCATATGAAATTTGTAATTCATTTTGTTTTGTGTGTTGCACTTAATTTTAGTATAACTTTTTAAACTATCATTATTAAATGAAATTTTTGTTTGATTTTTTTTGCTTACAAAATTTTTCTAAGTTTTTATAAATTTATGGTATTGTAACACGATAATAAAAGGAAAAAAAATGTACATCACCAAATCTTGCTGTTCATGCTGTACGTTATTGAGTGCTGGCTGCGCTATTCACCTCACTCTTCGATGAAAAATTCTGCTGCTTACTGCGTATATGTAAGCTGAGTGGCTGGCTGCTGCTGATGCTCTGTTGCTGTACTGCTGCTGTATTTCTGCTCACGGAATTATCCGGATCCTGATCATTGGATGTAGTAATTCAACTGTCAAATATTTCACGTTCAACCAATTCAGGGACACTTTTTTTTCTTCCGGCGTGTCAACTATCACGCTTCGCGCACTTATTGTCTTTTTACTATGCACTATAAATTGATTTCAGTCCAATTTTTGGCATTAATTATTATTTTTATTTTTGTTCATTAATTTATTTGATAAGGCTCAACCGAATTAACTTTACAGAGCCGAGGATTCTTGGTCAATATACAATACATCTTAAAACTATAGTCAAAAGGTACAACACAATAAACACTTTATCTTCCGCTATCCAAAAAGCCTCCTCCATCAGAACTGGAGCCGCTTCCAGTAGTTTCATTGTATGGCAAATTGTTGTACGCCAACGAGGGTCAGAGCGCGTCCATTGCAGCAATGGTCGCAAAACGTGGTCAGCACTCACACACTCATCACGAAACGGTTGCTTTCCAAAGTCGACGACGCATCGACTGAAAGAACTGCTGATGAAGAACAATGAGGAGAACCACACAATGGTTGCTGCCGAGAAAACAGACGATCGCGTGGCACACATCGAGAGTGGCCTGCTTTTGTCGGCAGCCGAGTGAACACTGGCATTAATTATTATGCGCACTTTGAAATTGTTAGTAACAGAAAGCGAAAATTGCTCCTCCCATTTTCTTCTCCATTGCACTTTTATGGTCCATAATTGATTTGTTTGTAGTTAAAAACACAATGCCCGAGTCTTGCGGGGTAAACACAGAAGCCACTTCTAGAACATTGCCTCAGTTTTCATGTGGGTTTGATGGCATTATTATTAATTTCTATATATCCGGCTTCATTAAGTAACTCCAGAAACTTTTTGGCAAACGTACACACTAAGATTTTTTTACAGGAGTCAGTATTTTTTTTACTGGGTTTTTGAATTGCTGAAAAAGTCGGAAAAATTCAAATGACCGTTATCCGTAAGGAATCAATGAAATCGACCAATTTTATTTTCTATCATTAAATGGGGTTAACAGAACTAAGTATGTACAAGTTCAGAACAAATATTCTCATTAATAAATTTTCCACAGATTTTTAAACTTTTACCGAACAGTTCCGCAATTCAAAAACTCGGTAAAACCGTGCTGACTCGATTAGTGTGTATGTTTTGGTTTTTTTTACACTTTTGTTGTTTGCTAAGCTACTTATGGTAGCTAAAAGTTCTGCTTTTGCAGCCATGTTCCAATCACTATTTTCGAACATTGGAATTCAGGCACTTTTGACATTCACACTGCTAATGGAGGCGAACCAGCCTAAGGCTGAAAGCCTCCTAAATAAAGCTAAATAATAATAATAATAATAATTCACACTGCTTAAAAAGTTACCTTTTACTTGATACTTGACCACGGTTCGCCATATTATGCCTTTTTACAAGTATGCAGGCTCCGCGGCATAATCAAGGAATGGATGCGGTGTCCTCATCTGTTTATCCCAGAGGGCAGAAGAGGATCGCAGAACCTTGGGGAATTTCTTTTCCTTTTAGCGATGTCCAAACCTGTGTATCCCAAGTTGGGCAGGAGAGGATCGCAATCGAAAGTGATTCTTTGATCGAAAGTATCTGGCTTTATTAATCAACTGCTTGGGTTTATATACGGAGTTATTGTCATAATACATTTTACAATTTGTTGCATTGGCATGATGTGATTTATATTTAATTACTGTAGGCAAAGTGAGATGCCTATAACGGTGTGACAATTCTATGTTTGTTTCATTGATGTCAATGTGCTTGCTAGGCTATTAGCGTATGGAAAGATGTAACATGATCCGCGCATTCGGGATTGCTGTTCTGGGTGTAGGAAAGGTAAATTAATAATTCTGTTTGGCAAGGCTATGAAGAAGTGAACGCTACTGACGTGAGTGCAACAATGCATGATATGCAATTTTCTGTCTTATCGGCAAATTTAGTAATTTCAATTCTTACAGTGGCGTAAATGATTTTAGCTACATATGACAATGGGCATAATTGAAGTAATCGGCTTGATTTCTCAATCTCATGACCATTGGTCAATGCAGCCATTTTTTCAGGAAAACATTCCCATTGTGCTTTTCTAAACAATGCATTCTCTACACAAACTATATCATTGTATTTTGTGTTTATAATTGTTTTCGATTTTTTTCTTCATCCAATCAACGAATTTCTTCAAAATACTTATTCGCTTCACCAACTGCTACCAGTTAGAAAAATGGTCATCGTGAATAAATGAAAATTCGTCGTTTTGTTGATGTCGCAATTCTTCATTTGAATATTTCATTGTGCCCCTTTTAGGCCACTTTTCTATCTTTTCACTTAGAAAAGTTGGTCCAGAAAACCAAATGGATTTTTTTTTACTATTTTTGTGCCTTCATCAGCTGGATTTTTTCGATGAAGGTATGTAATTCCACTGATCCATTGTGGTAAATTCTAAAATTTCAACAATACGGTGAGCTTCAAATTGCTTATATTTTCTATGGTCACTGTTTATCCATGCGAAAACATGTCTGACCACATCATAATTTTCGACATGGGCAAACGTAATTCGTTGCGAACAGTGTTTAGTAATCTATTTCCTAAAATTGCTCCTTGAAGCTCCAAACGTGGAATCGATAACAACTTTATGGGTCCAAGCTTCGCCTTTGCCAGACTAATATTTGCTCCACTATTTGTAATGTTTCTCAAGCATATAACAGCTGCAAATGTGTCTTCAGAAGCATCTACAAATGTATGTAATTCATAAGAGGTTGCATTTCTTGATGAGATACATCTTGGTATTTGAAGCTTAGATGCACTTTTTAACATTATTAGTCATGACGTTCAATATGGTAGTACTTTTTCAGAAATCGGAGTATCTGACTCTCTATGTAGTTTTTGCAATATTGTTTTGCCATAGATAGTTAAATGAGATATTAGACCTAGAGGGTAGTATTTTCACTCATGACGAAGGATAAAAGTTCTCTTTTCGTAGGAAGTCGTAATAAATCTAGTACTTCTGGTCTTAAGGGGGGAAGTACAATTAGAAGGCCTAAAATGAGGCCTATCTTTGAGAGTGGATTGCGAGTAGGGAAATAAATGAATGTTAGCGATTCTTTATGTATGTTATTAAGGATTTAATGAAGATTAATTATCAGTGACATTTTTTTAAAATTTTGCAATTTAGCCCAATTATTATAAATAATGTGAAGTCAATTTTTTAAAGCAGCACTTCGCGCCGTGCAGTCCCTACGTCCATGATCACGTCTGAAACAAAAAAAAAACAGGACATTAAATTTGAAGGTACAGCGCACAACATGAATTAATTGTTTTATGTTTTTAATGTTTTTTTCACAAAAAAATTAGAAGTTGAAAAAAAAAAAATAAAAAACCCTATTTTTTTCGACTTTGTTTATGAAAAAAATGCATGTTATAACAAACAAATCTAAAAAATCTTTCTATTCATGTTGTGGAGAATTTAATTATGAACATAAAACAGAAAACCGGAATCGATTTGAATGAAAACTCTGACCTGTACATTGCACGGCGATTTTGAAAACACTACTTTTCAGTAAAAGCATTTAAAGTTCAACTTTGTAAAAAAGTATTTTCGACTCACTTAAATTGGCTGAAACTTCAGTCAGCTAT